TCAAGAGCATGAGCAACTGCAGGAATCATCTCGACGACCACGGAGACCACCAAGGTGCAGTAAGTTGCAATCAAGAAGGCCATAATCGGCTTAAATGTCCTAATAAATAGTGCCTTTTCTTTTATATAGGAAAATATAATAGATTTTGTTGCAATAATCTTCAAGATTTTCGGTCACGTTGGGCTGCAACTCTTGGCCAAGGACTGACCAGCTCGGTGGTGTGACCAGCTCGGTGGTGGATTACGTTAACTAACTAACTAATTAGTCTACAGCACCTAGTTGAGCTGACATACCAAACCAGGTAATTTCGATTAATCCGGTTAGGTTAGTTTCCATCATGCGTGACATTAAATGACAGCGCATCCCCCTCCTGTGGCGCAGCTGGATTTTCTTATCCTTGGAATCGACAGTATTATTTTTATTCCTTGCTATGCATGCCATGCCATACCCCTGCTGCCATCACGCTAATGTAGGTTTAATTACGAGCAGCAAGGAGTCAACCCCTCACCGCTTCTAAGTTGCACCGCACCGCGGCAAGACTCGACTTCATTTCACCCACCTAGGGTATTGTACATACATATTCAACATGGAGAGCGTAGACCTCGTCGTCATTGGGTCCGGTGAGTGCACAGCTGCTGCCGCATTCCCTGACGCAAATTGCTGCTAACGCCAGCAGGCTGGCACGGCCTCGTGGCCGCAAAGACGTACCTCGAGGTCAATCCGACTGCTGCGGTCGTTGTCGTTGAGGCAGAATCGTCCATCGGCGGCGTCTGGGCCAGACACCGTCTCTACAAAGGCCTCAAGTCGAACAACCTGCTCGGAACATACGAGTACAGCGACTTTCCCATGGACGAGGACACCTTTGGGGTCAAGTCCGGCGAACACATCCCTGGAGATGTGGTGCATGCCTACTTGGTTAAGTACACCGAGCACTTTGGGTTCGCGGACAGGATCCGCCTGAATAGCAGAGTTGAGAGCGCTGAGCGTCAGCCGGACGGATCGTGGCTGCTCACTATTGCCTCGTCCGCACCGTCCAGCACAGCTCTGCACACGCGCAAGCTCATCGTAGCCACCGGCATGACGTCGCAGCCCTTTCTCCCCGATTTCCAAGGCCAGGACTCCTTCGACGCCCCGCTGTTCCACTGTCGCAAACTGCGGAACTACGAGACGGAGGTCCTTCAGCAGGGCAAGCGTGCGACCATCTTCGGGGGCACCAAATCCGCCTGGGATGCCGCATATGCCTGCGCGATCTCCGGAGTGCAAGTGGACTGGATCATCCGAGAATCAGGACATGGACCGACCTGGATGGCACCGCCGTATGTCACGCCGCTGAGGAAATGGCTGGAGAAGCTGGTCACCACGCGCTTCTTGACCTGGTTTAGCCCCTGCGTCTGGGGCGACGCAGACGGATTCGCCGGTATCCGACGCTTTCTCCATGGCACCTGGCTGGGGCGGAAGATCGTCGACGCGTTTTGGGGCATCTTGGCCAAGGACGTGATCCAGCTGAATGGGTACGACAAGCATCCAGAGACGAAGAAGCTCAAACCATGGTTCAGTCCGTTCTGGGTGGCTTCGGGGCTGAGTATCTTCAACTATCCGACTGACATTTTCGACTATGTCCGCGACGGGACTATCAAAGTCCACATCGCAGACGTCACGCATGTCTCGCCCAAGACGGTGCATCTGTCCACCGGCGAGGCACTGCCCTCGGATGCCCTCATCTGCTGCACGGGATGGAAGAGCACGCCGCCCCTGAAGTTCCTGCCCGAGGGAATCGACCGGGAGCTGGGACTTCCATGGAGCCCGGACGTGCTCGACGAGGAGCTCGTCAAGGACGCTGATGAGGAGATCTTGAGACGCTTCCCTCGTCTGCGAGACCAGCCTGCCAGCAACCCAAGGTACAAACCGCTATCCAGCAATGCGGCAGCTGAGGCGCCGCATCCATTCCGACTGATGCGGTTCATGGTCCCGCCAGGGATGATCCAAGACCGATCCATTGTCTTTCTCGGGATAACGATGACCATCAACGTGTCGATTATCGCGCAGACACAAGCGCTGTGGGCGACAGCATATCTAGACGACAAGCTTGACGTGAAGCCAGCGGTCACTCGCTCGGTAGCAAGCAAGGCAGCAGATCCAGATCCAGATCCAGACTCAGACCTTCAATGGGAAACTGCCATGCACACGCAATTCGGCAAATGGCGCTACCCAGGCGGTTTTGGCCGCCAGCATCCCGACTTTGTGTTCGACGCCATTCCGTACGTCGACCTGCTGCTGACGGACCTGGGGCTGCGTGCGCATCGGAAACGAGGCCGGTTGGCGGAGATGTTTGAGCCGTATGGGCCGGAGGACTATCGCGGGATTGTGAATGAGTGGAGACAGAAGACCGATAGAGAGGGGGAGAGAGAGATCGTAAATGGATGAAAAAAGAGGTCAGGAGGTTATACGTAGCCCTAGACAGTCCTAGCCCTAGCCCTAAGTCCTGGCTAGCCATAGTCATTCTGCAGTTACATTATTTGATTTCTTTCTTTCTTTGGTTTTTTTTTTGTTTGAGAAAAAAAAATGCAGATATTACAGTAGCCAGTTCAGCAATCTATGAGAATCAGTGCCTGATCCGGTTCTACCGCTTATCATACCCAACATTCATTAACGAATTTCTGATAATATCCTCCATCTGAGTACAATACACACACACACATACAAATCCTCCCCTCTGTACTAACCACATATAAACAACTATCCTACTACCAACATGCAAAACTAAAGATCCACCCCCTTACTACTACACACCACATACCTACTCCTCACCCTCAGCCACGGCCCCCATCGATACATCACCCACGGGACGGGCATCAGCGCCAGGGAAACAACCCCCCAGAAGGACATGGTCCACCGGAATGACAGGTGCTGGATCATGTGGACGGTGAACAGCGGGACGAAGGACGAGAAGAGGTAGCGTAGCAGGTTCTCGACCGCGACGGCCGAGGCGCCGTATTTGGCGCCGTAAATGTCGTTTTTGTACCAGGGGAAGCCGAGCTGATAGAATAGTTAGTGAATAAGGTTGGTTTGAGTCTGAGGATGATGTGTATGTGCGTGCGTACAAGATTCAGAGGAAAACTGCAGCCGAAGAGGACGCCGGACATGACTGGGACAGTCCAGTGGATGGAGGAATTGGCGGTCCAGGCGAACCTGCAGGAAAAAACAACAATCAGCGAATATTCCAAAAATGGGTGCATGGAGGAGTATCACCAGAACAACGAAATCGGCAGCAAAATACTCCCAATCATGCAACACCACAACCGCTCTTCCGGAGCAACAGACTCCCCCCGTAACTCCGCTCGGCGTTTCGCCTTCTGATACATCGTCCTATCGACCACGCTGATGATAGGAAACGCGACGATGCTGCCGCCCAGCAGCGACAGAAAACTCAGTCCCACCTGATACACCGAAAACGAGTACTGCGTCTGCAGCGCCCACGGGTATGCCACGTAGTACACGTACAGAATGCCCTGGACGACGGCGCCGTACGCTGCTGTCGGGAGCATGATCGGCTCGACGAGCAGCATGTGCAGCGGCCGGCCGAGGCCGACGCGCAGGGCAGCTGGCAGCGTCATGCTGGACAACGACGAGGACGAGTCTGGCTCGCGGAAGATCCTCGGCGCAAACGTCTCTGGCACGGGCAGGTTTATGACGACGCAACCCCCCAGCAAGAGGGCCGTCAGCCAGAAGGTCCAGCGCCAGTCGTCTGTGACCGAGACGACGGCCGAGCCCGAGATGGGTCCCACGAGCGGCGCAAACGCGCCGAACATGGCGTATATCACGACGAACTGGCTGCCCAGCGGCTCGGCGCTGTGGTCCCAGAGGTCGTTCAGCATGCCGGCAAAGATGCCCACGCAGGGCGACGCCAGCGTGCCTGCGAGCGCTCGCCCAACGGCGAGAGTGGCATAGTTCCTCGCGGAGCCAGCGACGACGGTGAACACGAGACTGAGCGCCAGCAGCGTCTTATAGAAGTACTGCCGGCCGAGGATCTCGGAGAAGGCGGTGCCGAAGGTCGGGCCAAGCGCGAAGCCGAACGAGTAGAGGGTGATGGGCAGGATGGCCAGGGTGTCGGAGACGTGGAAATCTGCTTTTACTCCGTAGATGCTGGAGATGTAGTTTGCGTTGGCGAAGAGGCTGTCTCAAAGTACGTGCATACATTGCACGATATAGATTAGACCTGCTTGATACACACAGCATGGAAATCAGGTCTGCGATGGATGATTCTTACACAACAAAGTACGACACAGCACAGACGATGGATATCAGACTCTTTTTGCGGACGCTCCACGCTCGAGGGTTACGTCTGTCGTCGGGGGAGAAGTCCTGTCCGTCCATCTCTTGCGGACATTCGGCCATGTTTTCACCAAGTATACAAGAACGAGTTAGAAGAAATACTCTGTAAATTAGCACAAGATAGTCAACAAAAGAATATCCCTTCTGTTGGACAGTACTTACCATGGGGGTGTAACATGCTGCTTATAACTTCTACACAATGAACGTCGCATCGCAATCCTGTCCCGGTCCACACAAAGACCACGGCCACGGCTACGCGTCTGTCCGGATGGGAAGCTGAGTCGATGGCTGCGAGGTATAAATAAACGTCTCCTTTGTCTATATGCAAGGGTTCATTCATTGTGGCTGAAACGCAAATAGTATCTAACCGGATGTGCAATAAATAAATATGCCTACGTATGCTGTAGGAGGGTAGTTGCGGATGAAAGAATGTAATATCCATCTCCTCAAAAAAAAAGTCAGATAATAAGCCTGGTATTCTCGTGGAGGTTGGTGCTGTTTCATATATCAATGCTGAAATATGTTGAGATGTACTACATTTAAGGAGCTGTTGCGTTTAAGCACCTAAATAAACAAGTATATATACGTAATCCCCATAACTTGTTTGAAACACTGCATAAAAAAAATACTTTTCTTTGACTCTGTGACTATTCTGTCCAGGGTCCTTAACTTAGTCCGTCGTGATTTATGCAGAAAGACGACTTCCAGCACGTATGTATGTACTTACAGTACAGAGAAAGTCAGACACTAAATAAATGAAGCTCATAGGCACATCGAAGTACATAGAGGTTTGTTTTCTCCTAACACTGGGATTCAGTCAAGTTTAAAAAGTATTATTGCAGTAGACCAAGGTTAGAAATAAGCAATGCTGTAATTAGTGTACATACGCCATACAGTAGGTATGTACCTAAGCAACGTGACACGTGAGGATGAATCAGATGATGAAATAAAAAGTCCCGAGATTTTCTGGGGAGGGCGTTCTAAGCCCATATGACAAAGAGTTTTCAATCACAGATCCCGTCTTGCTTATGACGCTGATATACACTAAGACCTTCCGCAAGCGGCGCAGATGGTGAGCAGACTCAAAGAACGTCGACAACTCGTACTGCACTGTACATAAACAGGCATTATTTCATGCATAAGCTCTTTAACTGAATTCATGAAAGATAAGGTATTACTAATGTTGCACCAGTATTCATGGACAGTCATCAACATCGAGCAGAGAGGGGATGTACAGCACAGCACTGGTATACAGGATTAGGTACAGTCTCGTTCTCTTGTAGTAGTGACAGTAGAAACAGTGTAGAGTAAAGGGGTTCCTAGGACAAGCTGGTTGTTGTCAACTTCTCTCCCGGTCTGCTGCCTCCTCCTCCAACTGCTCCACCATGTCGCGCGCCCGCAGACCCTCGCTCGAGTTGGAGTTTCTCGCTCCTCCGGCCAGAATATACTCCCTGACCCATGGCGGCACCAACGCCTTGATCTTGACCTCGCCCTCCGACGCAGCATGCGGAGTGGGAGTCCCTTCCTCCACACCGTCGTCCCACGACACTTTGAACTCCTGCAACGGACTGTACTGGCTCCCCTCCCCCGTCAGTACGATGTCCGTCATCATCTCCAGCCGGCACAGCGCCAACCCGACATTGCCAACTCCCCCGAGAAACTTCCCCGCACTGCGGCCCTTTTGCGCACTGACTCGCGAGATATTCGCACCGCTGGGCGGCAGAGGAAGCTCCGTCGTCGGATCATACACCGGCGTCTCGATAAACCGCGCCGCATCCTGGCCGCCGTTATACAGCTGCACCGGCAAAATCCGCTTGCGCACGACACCGGTATGGTGGGTGCGAATCGTCAATTCCTGCCCGACATAGCAGCCCTTGCGGAAATCGATCCCCTGCATCATGTCCATGTTGCATTCCATCGGCAGCGCTGATTCGCGAATGATCTCCCCCTGGCCTTCTGCCACGCCGTGCAGGATCCGCCGTAAATTATACGTCGCCAATGGAACCTCCTTCCCCGGCAGTTTGGATTCGTCCGGGAAATGCGTGCGCAAGTCGTCCGTCCCTGGCGTCACGAAGCGCGAACCCAACGTAGGAGCTCGAGTGTCGACGCAGCCCGCGATCGGCGAAGACGGCGAGAAGGGAGAGGGGAGGTCCGACTCGAGATTGTACGCCGCCCATCGGGGCTCCGCTTCGTCGTTCCACGACGCCCAGACCGATCGCTCGCCGTCGTCGAGCGCGCGCATGGTGAATTTCGCGCGCAGCTTGTGTTTCTTCAGGTGCTTCAGCAGGTTCGTGACCTCCGCCTTGTCGACTTCGATCAGCCAGGCCGGATCATCGCCACTCGCAGCGCCGTCACTGCTGCTGCTGCTGCTGCTGCTGCTGCCCGGCGGCATAGGATAGATGAACACGTCGTGGAGGACCCGGCCCTGCGCGTTCAGGAAGGCACTGTAGCACCCGGTTCGCCGCGGCGCACGAACCGGCTCCTTGCCCATGAGCATGTTCTGCGTGACCATGCCCTGCAGGAAGGACGTGCTGTCCGCGCCGGCGATGGAGATCAGGGCGCGGTTGGTGAGGCGCGTGTAGCCTGCTGGCGGCGGCACGGGCGGGAGGTCATGTTGTTTCTGTTGCTGACGGACTGGGACGTCGTCGAGAAGGAGGCTCTGCCGCGGCTCAGGCATCGCGAGCATATGAAACGGGTGGAGGGACGAGGAGCCATCTGGAAGCACAGTGCTGGCGACTCATTCGACTGGGGAAGAAGATCGGACTGCGGTGGGCGATGAAGGGACGCGGGCGGTGGGCGGCAGCAGAATCGGACTGACGTAATACGCGGAGACAGATGTCCTAGCTAACCCTAACCCTGGCACCAATCTATCAGGGTGTAGCAAGCATAGTAGTAGGCACAGAAGGATGTATTTATTTCTACAGATGATTCCAGACTGAAGAAACAGGTTAAGGAATGCAATATCTGTAGCTTATAAGTGTAGTAGTTGTAGCATTACCATGCACTAAGCTGCTACAGATATCTTGTACTCTACACAGCAAGGTCACCTCTGCCCCTTGGCAACTCCCTCCAGGTATCCAAGCAGAAACGCTTTGTTGTCTGACGACGTCATCCTATTCGTCCCCGTTCGAGCACCGCTATCGGCACTGCCGAAGCTGGTCTCGTGGCTAGGAGCGGGAGAAACGGCAGGTCGGCCCGTGGATGGCTCATCTTTTGTAGCCAGGGTCGAGCTCTGGGGAGTGGGCGACTTCCCGAACAGAGAGAGCAAGACTTCCCTCTGTGCGGCCGTCTGACTTGGGCGACGATCGAAGTTTGGCTGCGTGACCCGATTCGGCGGCACAACGACCTCCTTCTCGGCCGCAGCCGGCTGATTCTGAGACAATTCTTGAACTGCCACGGTACGGCTAGGGAGGATTTCGTTCAGATCCAGCTTATCGGAACGGCGAAGGATCTGTGGCTGGAAATGCTTCGACGGACCCGGTGACTTCGCTTTTTCGACCGGTGTCTGAGACTGGGGTCGTGAAACCGGTTCCGCCAGCGCAGGAGAGTCTCTTTTCGCACTCTGTGGCCGCGACAAAATGGTAATCGGCGAAGCCGGAGTCCGCCGCTCTTTGTCCGTCTTCCGCGACGTGCCATTTGCTTTCTTAGAAGGCTTGCCGGCTCTGTCGAATTCAGGAGTTTTCAATGGCCCAGAAACAGTGGCAGACGCCAGAGCTTCCTCCTCGTGCCGCTCCTTCTTGATATTTGCAGGCTTCGCTGGAGGTTTGCCATCGCCCTGACTAGGACGCTGAAGAATCTGTTTTGGAAGCGATGGCAATGACACTGGCTGGGCAGGTAACTCTGCGGCGGTCGTTGTTGTTTGAGCAGAAGATGACCCCTTGAGCAGACTCAGCAGGTGGTCCTGGTGCTGCGACGGCTTGTGTGTCGCCGATGACCCGGATTCGGGTTGCGAAACAGCAGGAGTAGCCGGCTTAGCTGTGGGAGTAGTGTCGTTTTTGAAGACGCTCAGAAGAGCTAATGAATGGCTAGTCAGTTTCGGAGGCGGCAGTTTACTTGCCGGGGGCACAACTGGCCCTTGGGCATTCTGCATCGGCTGGGCGAACTGGGGATCACCAGTTTGCTGATATGGGGCTGGAACATGCTGTTGAGGCGGCTGATATGATGGACCCGAACTCTGCGCGTACTGGAATGGCTTGAATTGATTGTTGAGAGCCGAAACCGGCTGCCCCGGCACTGGTGCGTTTTGGTATCCGGAAAAGGGAGGCATCCCAGTATTTGGCGCAAAAGAGCGATCCAACGGCGGTCCTTGAGACGCCTGAGATGCGGGTGGAAATCCCGCATTGAGCGGAGGGAAAGGATTTGTGGGAGGCCTTTGCTGGGACTGAGGCTGCGGCTGCGGCTGCGGCTGCCCACTAGGGCCAGGTGCATGCTGGCTTGAGAATGGAAATGGTTGCGAGGAATTGGAAAAATGGTTCAACGGAGACAGGTGTTGCGGGGGCATCTGCGCAGAAGCAGTTTGCGGTGTCATTCCAACACCGTTCTCGCTGATCTGACCACCGCCGCTATTGGAACCGCTTCTTAACAGTGCCAGCAGAGCATTCGACTTGGAGGGGTCACTAGCGGAGGACGAAGGCGCGCCAGCTTGTGGGCCAGACGGCGAGGCAGTACCGGTGCCACCGATATTGAGAAGGCGTTTCAGGTGAGAAGAGACATCTTGAGGAGTCGCGACTTCGGGAAGATCACTAGAAATGGCTGCGCGACGGGCCTCTTGCTTCGGCGTGAATCCGCCGTTTGCATGGAACGCTTCATCCATGGATGTTTCACCCTCGGTCTGTGTCATCTGCAGGGAGGCTGCTTGGTTCTTGGCGTCGAGCTTCCTCTGCTGCGCAATCCACTTCTTCAGCGGGTGGAGGAAAGGCGCGACCATGTAAAATTTATTCGCATTGGCAGCGTCATGATTCTTGCTCTTCTTGAGAGTGGGCAGCTCCGATAGTTTATACCATTCGATCTTGCTGATCTCCTTTCGGGTCCGAGGGGCAAACTGGAAATCCTTGGGCACACCACGGATGACGTACAGCCTCATATGCTGCTCCCGCATCGTGATTTCGATGTACTTGACGTCGTTCTCATCCTTAATAAGGCCGGCCTCTCGAATGTCGAAGCCAGTTTCCTCGTAGACCTCCCTGATGGCACAATCCAGGTCCTTTTCATCCTTGTTGATCTTGCCTCGGGGGAAACTCCAGTTGGCGCCCTTCTTCCAGCCCTTGACCAGGACGACTTCATCCATCGAGTCATTCAGCAGGATAGCTCCCCGAACAGGAACGCGGGTCTTGTAAGCCAGGAACTCGGAGAAAGCGGTGATGTGGTGGTAGTGGGACCATTGGGACATGAGCGGACAGTGCTGGAAGATGCGCATGGCAAAGGCCTTGAGGGACAGCGACGGCAGAGCCGGGTCGAGGGGCCGGATGAAATCCTCGTAGAACCATTGTGCTTCCTCGACCTGGAAACAGATGCGCTCCACCGATTCGAGTTCTTCACGAGGGAGATTTATGATGAACCGGACGCAGAGGTCATCCAGCCCTATGTCAACGATCGGATATCCCTTGTCAGCTCATCACACCGTAGGAACAAGGACGGCGAACGGCAGCCAAAACGCACAGTCTTCTAGCTGCAGCTTTGTTTCGGTCATAGTGTCTGGCGGAGCCGAGCATTTCAACACGCTATGAAGAAGCGCGAGAAGCTAGCCGATCTCGAGGAAGACCCCAGGCAAGGCGCGCGGGTGGCCAGTGCTTGGGAGGTACGAACGCAGTCAGTGGCGGATAAGATAAACAATCCCTAGTCTCGATCAGAAAGAGAATCGCAGAACAATCAGACCACGTCAGGAGTCCTGGGACGCGGGAGAGTGAGAATCCTAAGACCGAGCATTGAGGATGGAGAGGTGGTTGGTTGTCAAAGAGCCGGAATGCTTGCATGATGGACGGTGTTGGAAGTGCACCGCCACAGTTACCTCCCAGTAGGGCACGAAGGTGGCTTTGCACCGCCACATGGCTGTCCGCCACTTGTGGCGCAGTCAGAGTGCTGTGGCTTGTCTCATGTCCTGGATGCGGAATGACGTGGGTTGACCAGACAGTGAAATGAATGGGATGCGCTTATGGTCTGCTTAGGACAAAGAGTCATGACATCTCCCTACGTAGTCTACACTTCTCTTTCATTTTTGACCGGAAATTTCTGGAGAACAGAAAGGGGTAGCTGGGATACCCTCTGACTGGCCCATTCGGCGCCTGCTGATACAAGCAGCCTGTACCTAATTAAGCTGCCCAACTCTCTGTCCAGCTGTCACTATTCTAGGACATATATTACTTGATCGCTCTACTTTCGACAGGCAGGACTAGTATCACGGAGCATCATGGCAGCTCAACTGGCTGCATTCGTGGGAAAGAGAATTTTGAATGAGACTGCGAGGAACAAATTTGGTCAAGAGGTAAGTTCTTTATCCTTCAGCTCTGTTCTTTTCCGCGTTCTTATTTCGTATAGGATCCTTATTTTGAAGTTGTCCCCGCCTCGCGGCTCGCTCAAGCCTTTGGCAAGAAGACAACCAGACGTCGCAAGGCCATTCCCCCGGGCTTGTCCGAGAATGATGCCAAAATTCTCAATCGAGTCAAACGTCGGGCCTATCGACTCGACTATGCTCTTTTCAACCTTTGCGGGATCCGCTTTGGTTGGGGTAGTGTAATCGGGTTGTTCCCTTTGTAAGTATCCCTGTTATCCGTCTTGTAGACCTCACTGACCCTGGGCAGTATTGGAGACGGCCTGGATACTGCGCTAGCCATGATGGTGGTTCGCGATTGCCAGAACATTGATGGTGGACTTCCACCCCAGCTCTACAGCAGGATGATGTTCAACATTGTCCTTGACTTCCTTATCGGTTTGGTCCCGTTTGTCGGCGACCTGGCAGATGCAATTTATAAATGCAACACTCGAAACGCGATCCTGCTTGAAAAATATCTTCGAGACAGGGCAGCCAAGCCAGATAAAGCCCGGCAGAATAACGGACAACAAAACCGTCAGGAACCGCGTCCCGTGGATCCCAGTATCCCGGAAGAATTCGACAGATACGAGGGCATGCTGGAAAATCCACATATCTACACAGCGGACACGGTAGCAGGACCTGGACCTCATGCCCGTGATGATATCACCAGTAGCCCAACAAGGCCGCCGCCGGCCCTTGGTAGGCCAGACAGCAATCGCGACAGAGGCTGGTTTGGCGGGCGGAAACAAGGACAAGGGGATCTCGAAACCGGGATTATCCGCTATACGTGATCCCCTCCAGGGGTTGCTTCTGCACCGCATAGACCCTGCTGATTCCCATCTATAATCTCCATCTTGTTTAATCTCTATCGTGTTTAATCAGTCATGTAACCTGTATGTAGTCACAATGAGTTCTAGTTTTCTTTTCCTCATCCGTTCCGTCGAGTGACTTGCTCGGGCGCAGATCTTGCGCATCCATAACAAAATCGGGCCTGAGCCTCGCTGGGTGTCCCATCAGCGGAACCACCCGCTGTCTCAAGAGCAGCAGCACAGAGAGCGCATCGTGCCTGATCTGCTGTGATCGGAGGTTGTTGCAGTTTGTTCACGGTCCGTACCACATTAGCCATCACGCCCGGATACTTCTCACTGTGGGTCTGGATGTATTGCTTCATGAGCTCGTCAATCGAGAGATTCCGGTTGGACATGGTCTCCGATGTTGGCTGTTCAGGAATGACAATCTCTTCCAGGCTAGGAACCTGGCTTGCATAGAGTTGTATTTCCGATTTGTATAGATCCCGAAGCGGGAAAATAAATTGTACGCCCCACGGGGACATACCGTCGCAGACTTGCCATGTTAACGAGGCTCCACGTCCCTTGGCCACGTTGGCAAGAGTCTTTGCGGCCAGACGGCTGTCTGAATCTCCCCAGATCACACATTCGCAACCGTAGTGTTTCGCGCACGCAGCAATCAGCCTGAGTAGGAGAATGTTGTCGACATCATCTTTGGATGTAGCACTAGGAATCGAGGCCCGCAAAGCCTCGAGGCGATCGTGGTCCGATTTGGCTTCATCATCCACAAAGTTTGGTCCTGCAAACTGATACATGGCGTCCTTTATATCCGGATCATATTGGAAGATACTATGAAACGGCACCGTCGTGTATGTATGTCGGGGAAAGCATTTTTTGACCAACTCAAACCTTGCCTCGCAGGATGGACTGGCGGGGGAGATGGTTGATGGTTCGACAACAAGCACATGCAGCTCGTATGCGACACGGCCTTTTCCTCCAGCGACTTGCCGCTCGAGGTGCTCGTTCAACATGTGTAACAGCACCGTGGACGACACGCCATAGGACAGAGGCAACAAGAGCTTGCGCTGTCGGTCGTGGGGGGCGTGTTTGACCGAGCGATACTTGTCTATACGCTGGAGGGCCTTTACAGTGGCATATCGCAAGAAGCAGTCTCTACACGACGAGGCGGTTAGCATTCTGTCCTAGACACAGCAATGAGAAGATTGTACAGACCTGCACAGACGGCGAGTGCGCACCGTTGCGAATGCCTCTGCATCCTGACACTGGACGCAAGGGTCTGCGAAATGTTTGCCTGGCATCTGCGCGAGCTGGAGACTGCTGCTGTCGATTGATATTGATATTATTAGAAAAATTAGTATGGAGGGGAAAATTGCTGACGGCGGGTTGCCAGAAATAGAGCGGGCCGCTGCGGGCGGCGCCTTCATTGGCCGGAGATGCCAACACGCGGATGCTCGGAGAGGCGTGCGTGTAGCCACGATGTCCCTGGAGCTCCGGCTCAGCTCTCTCAGCTCCCCAAAGAACACGTCCATGCGGAGGCCTCGGGCCTTGCAATCCTGCTCGTTCCCACCTGGATCCATCTGGATGTCCAGTCTGCAATTGGGATTGTCTTTCATCCTGAAATAATATCCAGCGCTGACCGCCCGTCGGAGGCTAGCTGCTGTCGCCGGCCACAATGAAGGGCTGGCTTCAGACCCTCTGCCTGTCTGCTCTGCTGGCAGGCCGGGTCCTTGCGAACGAACTGGAACTGGTTGGAGCCTCTTTCGGGTGATTTCTGTGGCAGTGAGCATTGCTGATGCATCGTCTACATCCAGAAACAAGATGACGCGCACCGACAACGATGCTCCGGAATGTACAGCCGGAAGGCTTGGGGAGGCAATGTCGATCCATTTATCCTGACCAAGTTCGTCAAGGTCGACAGTGAAGAGGAAGGCGATCCACTTGTCAGTCTGGTGATCTTTGAGTGGAACGATGAGGAATTAATCGGGAGAGTCGTTCCGGGAGGAGATGTAAGCCCGTTCTCGAATGCATCCTCATGCGAAATATACTCACACCACCGGCAGGAATTGGCGACTATTTGTGACGAGAGCAACGTCGAAGCCAAGCTGTGCACCCAAGACGAGATAGGCTCCTTCATTCTCGCTGCCAATGCTTCCGAGGCTGCCCAAAGTCCGATTGTGTCTAAGGCCATCCATCTGAAAGATCCGATTGCCGTCAACTACCCAGTGAAGAAGACGGGCTTCTACTGTGTGAGCACATATGCGTATTCCGGTCACGATTACAGAGGGGTGGTTGAATTTCGAAATTCCTACGGAGAGCTTCCGGCTGCCCAGATTGCGAAGCTACCTTTCTATGGAGGGTTGACAATAGTCTATGCTGTGATTGGGATGTATGTCTTTTCCATGAATCGAGGTGACTGGAAGACGTGCTCACATTTAACGTAGCTTCTGGGCCTTTCTCTATGTCCAAAATCGGCATGACATCTGTAAGCGTTGCTCGTTCCACTGTGATCGGTTGTCCACTGACCGTCGACAGTGCCCGTTCAGAACTATATCACGGCCATCATTGTCTTCCTCATAGTCGAGCAATTGATGACTTGGGGGTTCTATGGTATGTTCAAGAAGGATTTCAGCGTCGATCCATTAGCGTTAACTCCTGTCTAGACTATCAGAATCGACACGGCTCGAACTTAATGGCAAAGGTGCTAATGATAATCGTTGCCATCCTCAATGCGGGCCGCAATTCTTTCTCCTTCTTCCTGCTTCTCATTGTGTGTATGGGCTATGGTGTCGTCAAGCCGTCGCTTGGTCGGACCATGATCTATGTCCGCATTCTGGCCATTGCTCATTTCGTTTTTGGGGTCATCTACGCCATAGCCAGTCTATCAATCACACCAGACAGCGCCGGCCCACTTGTTCTGCTCGTGATTCTCCCGCTCGCGGGCACGTTGACTGCATTCTACGTCTGGACCTTGAACTCGCTCAACATGACGATGAAGGATCTTGTTGAGAGAAGACAGAAGACCAAAGCGATGATGTATAAGAAGCTGTGGTGGTGCATCCTCGGAAGCATCATTGTGATCTTTGGATTCTTTTTCATCAACTCCTTTGCATTTGCCGGTCGCGACAACGCCGACTTTGTGCCGACGCACTGGAAGACCAGATGGTTTGTTCTGGACGGCTGGCTCAACGTCGTTTACTTGTTTGATATTGCGTTTATTGCTTACTTGTGGCGGCCTACGGCGAACAACAGACGGTTTGCGATGAGTGACGAGGTAAGAAGAAGTCTGCGATTGGCCGCAAAAAAAAACTAACTGGGTTGGCAGCTCGCCCAAGATGATGATGGCTTTGAGATCCGCTCGCTTGCCAATTCCCTGGATGAAGAAGGCGCACTGGGAGGGCCGGATGAGGCCGGACACCGCGAACCGGAGCGGGAGCTTTCTCCCGTTCCTCCTAAGCCGGTGCAACCTGCGCCGCGGCAGCGTGAATCGCTCGACGGCGAGACGATCTTCGCTGTCGGCGAGGAAGACGGAGACAAGTGGTCCGAAGACGAGGACGATTCATCACGGAATTCGACGAGTGAGAGGAAGAAGCTGACCAGCGATAAAGATAAATAAAGGATGGCAGGAATCGCAGGTCAGCGATGCTAGAGTTTGCGTTGATAGGTAGGAACTGTTAAAGGAGAACCTGGATACTGTAATAGCGTGCATGCTTGTCCAGGATCAGTCCGCGGGATCAGTCTGACGATTTCCACACTGTTGCTTCGCTCGTTGTATTATTTCCTGTTAGTGTTTGCTTGCTGCGGTAACTCTGGCGTTGTATATTTTGCGGAAAGGTACATTTGACTGGTTTACTGGCCTGGGAGTATTTATTTATTTATTCATCTCGATTTGTTTCTTATTATCATTATAGAAATCTGTTAACCTGTTCGTTTAGGCGCAGTAGATCGGATGATAACTCTTAATTAATTAACATGGACAGGGAGGGAAATAATATATTATTTAATTAATGAGGCAAAAGCATAAACGAACAATGACATAATCATCCTTAATTTGGAAACTATGGAGTAATATTACCTGCATTAAGGTTGGAAAAAGCAGCCGCACTGCGCCCGCTAATCTTATTATGTTTTTACATCCCACCAGTTCTCCGTCTCCGTTCTACTTTTTTTTTTAAAAAAAACCTTCCATCAGTGTTCATAGTTATAATTTTCTGCCTTCATTTCAGTCTTTTGGAAAATATATTATATACCTACCTATTATTCATGAAGACTGAAGAAGAGGAAATAAATAAATGATAGACAGGAAATCATATCTACATACATAGATCGACTGAAATCCTACTACCTCCTATACTGTAGCCAGGTACTATATCGAAAATGACACACCCCGCCCCCACCGCCAACAACGACCACGATGATTCAACAACAAGAACAACGACGACGACTTCGTCTTCGACGAGTTCGACAGCAGCAACCCTCTCCACCAAACTCCTCCACCAATGCCGCCTCCTCCTCGCCGAACTAGACACCTTCCTCGCCGCGCTCGCCACCCGCCTCCGCAGACACCAGCAGCAGCAGCATCTGACCGAGATGCGGCAGTTGCGGTCGAACGTGTTCTCGGAATTGAGGACGTTGGAGCGGTTGGCTGCTGATGCTGCTGCTGCGGCGGCAGCAGCAGCAAAAACCTACGGTGGTGATGATGGTGCTGCTGCTGACGCAGCAGATGTTGCAGAGTCCGAGCGAAGGCTTCTGCATGCGCTGAGGTCGTCGAATCTCCCGTTCTATGTCGCTGTGTGGACGGTTGCGAAGAAGAGGTGTATGGGCGTGGTGGCGTTTGGGAAGAGGTTTTATTGGGATGACGATCACCATCATCACCATCATGATGAACATAATGTTGTTGATGATAAAGAAGAATGCGGAATGAAATCGAAGGATAATGAAGACGAAGATGCTATTTCTATTCCTCCTACTACTGCTACAGGGAAAAAGAAACGCCCCAGCAAGGACAAGCGGAAAAGCGTCTTTGTGGATATCGTCGCTGATAATGGCGAGGAGTGGGTCAAAGTGTCTACGATATCGGAGAATAGGCTACTGTTTGAGATGGCGGAGAAGGGGTGGGATAGGGATGATGAGAGCGATGATGATGCTCTAGTTTCTGGGGGAGAAGACGCAGAAGAAGAAAGGCAGAGATACGACAGGAAGAAGAAGAGTCTACACTCCACTGATACAGATGAGGAAGACCAGATCGAATTGGTAAAGCTAGCCTCGGATATGGCCAAAGCTGCGCGCGCAGTGCGCGTTAGATACAGACACCCGCGCATCCGGTTCGTCATGCCCAAGATCGTGGAAGGCAGCATTCCCGAAATCGACGCCGTCCTCAACGACATCCGCAGTTATGGCGTCACGGTGGAATGCGGAACACACGTCCCGGACGTGCTCAACGACGAGCTGGACGGGAGTCGCGATCCAAGCTCGGTCACACCCGAAGACCTCCCCCTCTCAACGTTGCTCCCGAATCCTTACGAAAAATTCACCCCCACCCTCAATGTCGACTGTACGCTGCTCCTGGCTCTCGTTTCTGACGTCTCCCACATCCGACATATCGCCCCGTCTCCGTCTCATCACCGCGCTATCCGACGACAGATCGAGCTGGAGGAGGAACAACCTTTGGTCCCGAGCGAACTCTGGCCGGCAATGGTAGGCCGTCACCTGATCTGCACCGAAGAGGCAGCGAAGCGCATGAGAGAGATCGTCGACATCATTGGGACAGACACAGAGAAGGAGAGGACGGCAATCTTGATGGGAGATCGGGGATCAGACACGCTCGATCTGCTCCAACGATTCCAACGACTTTCGGATCACGAGATCCCCCGCGAGTGGCTCATTCCGATCAAGGTGGTCAACGCTCAACCGGATATCAACGCAGGCTTGCAAGACGGCAAATTGCCACCGGTAGCTCACAAAGTAACAGCAGCCCTGTCGGTTATCAACCGCAGCGTGTTTCTCTATGGATGGGTCAAGGGGATTGTGACGGTAACCAGCAACAGAACGGTTGTCAAACAGATCGAGAACATCATTGAAGAGAACAGGGGCGGCGACGATGCTTTACAGGGACCTCAGGTGTGGGTGTGTGATACAGCCAGGAGCTTGGTGGGTAAAGAAAAGAATCGAAGACCATGATGAGTGGGAATTGGTATGCCACCGTAGATAAAACGAGGAGTGTCCACCATCGACAACTCCACAAACCCGCAGTTGAGGCTGTCGGTATGCCTGTCATGAATTAGCAGCTCATAAGTATCTTCAGCAGACGACCAGCTGGGCCAGCGTCTATTTCTCTGATGCTTTTGCGCCCTCCTCAGGCAACCAGAACACAATCTCCTTGTCGGCACTTGCAATCATATTGTATCTCGGGTTGCTTTCGATGATCGCAGTGCGGCCTCTGTGAGGCAACTTGGCCATGGGCTGCAAGAGTAAGTCTGAGCCAGGCGTCTGGTGCGTGTCCCATACCAGAACGTCAGGCTGTTCACCTGCACCTCCTATGACGTACCGTCCATCTGGGGTGAAGCAGGCGTCTCCCTGGCCCAGTGGCTTCCCCGAGGTCGAGATGGGAGCTGCCCTCCCAGTCGAACCGCCCCGGCCGACCAGGAAGGATTTCAAAGTTCCGTCAAATGCATCCAGAACGAAATGCCCGTGGTAGTCTGTCCCGACCAAGAGGTTCTTGCCATCGTTCGAGAATTCCAAACGGGTCCATAGTCTACCACGGGTGGAGGGCGTAAACTTCTCCTCGTGTGGTGCAAGGTCAAAGGTCGCGAATGGCGGCTTGTCGTAATTGCGGAAGTCGTATAGCAAGACCGAAGACGTCGACTGAGACGCGATGGCGATGACCGTGGCTGACGGGTCAAACGCGACCAGGTACGGGGTCGCCAGCTTCAGCTTCCCCTGGGCATTGCGCGAGTTCAAGTCCCAGAGCGCGATCGTGTCGTCCTTGGAACATGAGATGAACGCGTCGCTCCCGGGAGAGAGCGCCAAGCAGGTGACTTTATCCGTGTGGCCCGAGAAATAGCGCAGGTAGCTTTCATTGTGTAAATCCAGCAGACGTAGCGAATCTGGACGAGGTCAGCGGCCAAGAATGGAGCGGCGGAATGGAAGAAGGTCGCGTACCGTCAACCTTGGTGCTGGCATGAAGGACCTGGCGAGAGTGGTGTGTAAACCGCGCTAGATGGGCCCCGTATTTCTTACTGGGCACCGTTTTGGTGGACTTTCCTTCTTTGATATCAAAGACCTGAATCGCTTCATCGTCGCCAGAAGCTACCAGGTACTCGCCCTGGTCGTCGAAATCCAGGGACGTGATGTGAACCGGGCTGTCTGGCTTCCCACATCGAAATATCTACAATCAAACAACATTAGTCGCTCTAGCCATCTCCGGCGAAAAACTTCGACAACACCACCGATAACAGCCTACCTTTGTTGGACGATAATGGCGGATCACATCGGAGACTTTCTGCGTGGGAGGGGTTGATGACTGGGGAGGCGGCGGCGGCGGAGGCTGCTGCTGTTGCTGCTGAGTTTCCGCCATTGCTGCCAGGACCTCAGTGCCGACCGTAAGTCACTTGCAGGCTGACATGACTTGGAGATGGTCAATTGGCGTGGTGGTGTCGCTGTCGACCACCCTCTGGACTGACGGAGTACGCGATCTGCTATCTTTTCGCAGTCACGCGTGGGGAACATGACTGTTGAGCAAACAGAGCAAACACCGCCGATCGGCTGGCGACGGGCCGAGCCCGAAAGTCGGAGGGCGGGAAAAGCAATGCCGATTAAGGCCGCGGCTAGGGCGCCTTGGCTCCTGGAGCGGGCCAATGGCAGCGGCCCCAGTTCGCCCACAGCCATGTCAGCTTCTCCTTAAGCAATTCTCCTCTGCATCGATAGCTGTCCAGAACATTATTAATTCTCTCTTTTTTTCCCATTCCTTTTCTTCTCACTCTCCGCTCCGTTTTTCCCCCTGTGTCTGAGAGGCCCCTGTTGAGAACTTGCCTGCTTTTGTTGAGCAGAGACGCCCTTGTGACACTGATAACGCTGGTGCGGAGCGGTGTCCGCAATCGGGGCCAAAGCTCGTGCGTCTGAGACGATGTCGACCACCACAGGGTACGGACGATTCCTTGGCGATGAGGCCCAGACACTAGTACAGAGGCTCACATGAGGATGGTGTCATTGCAGGGCATTCATTGCTGGAGGCATTGCAGCATGCGGAGCGGTCACAGTCACGCACAGTTTTGAGACAGTGAAGATTCGGTATGTTGGCCTGACACGCGCACGTCTGCCGGCAGCGAAGACCTGATGCATGCTGCCACAGATTACAACTGCAGGGAGAACTGCAGGCAAAGAACGCCGTCGAGAAGAAGTACAGAGGTGTTTTCCATGGAATCAAAGTCATTCTGCAGAATGAAGGACCCAGGGGCCTGTTTCGAGGCCTGGGCACGGCCGTATGTAGCAATTCTCCCTTTAGAAGCTCTCACGACAGTTGTTTGACGAACACGACGAAAAGTATATATACCAGATTTTGTTAAACGGCTGCCGTCTTGGTTTCTACGAACCCCTGCGCACCGCGCTCACCACTGCTATCTACAACGACCCGAAAGTCCAGTCTCTCGGCATCAATGTCTTCTCCGGAGCAACGTCGGGCATCATAGGCGCTGCAGCAGGATCGCCTTTCTTTCTGGTGAAGACCAGACTCCAGTCCTACTCGCCGTTCCTTCCCGTCGGAACTCAGCACCAGTACCGAAACGCGTATGACGGCCTGCGACAGATCTATCGTGGTGAAGGGGTCAAGGGACTCTACCGGGGTGTGGGAGCCGCCATGGTTCGAACCGGCTTTGGCAGCTCCGTCCAATTGCCAACATACTTCTTCGCAAAGCGACGATTGACCCGACACCTGGGGATGGAAGAAGGCCCTGCTCTCCATCTGGCCAGCAGTACCGTTTCTGGATTCGTCGTATGCTGCGTCATGCACCCGCCTGGTAAGTGGCTTCGGAGTACAGCTGGGCTCTGGCTGACGGAATGCAGACACGATCATGTCCCGGATGTACAACCAGAGTGGAAACCTTTACAAAGGCGTGTTCGACTGCCTCTACAAGACGATCTCCACCGAAGGTTTCTTTGCGATCTACAAGGGATACTTTGCTCATCTGGCTCGTATTCTCCCGCATACGGTATGCCCGTCTCCTGGCGCCTGTGGTTCGATTGCGTCCCACTAACTTGGGTGTAGATCTTGACCCTGAGTCTTGCGGAGCAGACCAACAAACTGATTCGCAAGATCGAGGATCGCATCCTGCCTGATTCTCTTCGCGCTAAGCTGTGAACAAAAAGACCCAACGCGTCCGTCTCTTGGAGAGACAATCTTTCCTTTTTATTTTCCTTTTTTGTGGAAATTTCTCATGATTTCTTGTACATATTGGGTACCATCGAGCGATAGACGGGACACTTTGTAGATCAAGGCGTTTTATTTTCTGTTCGGGAATTCCCTAAGCTAACCTTGTTTTTGCCTTGCGATCCCTGGTAGTTCAGTACTTGGAAAGTTGGAATTCAGAACGCGTACCGGAGTCAAAGAAAGAGGGGCCACCTCGATTTCCAGAATGATGAATGGTCCAGATACAGATTCCTCAAGCGGAAGTATGGAGGGGCTGGATGCCTAGGTAGCTATCACCATTCACCAGACAGGGTAATGCAAGGGTAGGAAGTTACTTCGTACAGCCATACCGTTCGCGACACGCTATATTCCGCCTGCTGCCTGAGCTAGCTGGCTAGGACACGGCCTGGGGCCATCTATGGTACAATTCCCAGGTTGCTGCCTGGTCCCTCGTTACGAAAGACCATGGTAGTGCGAAATCTTGTAGCTGTGGGACAAAGGAAAGTTTGTCAGATCCGTGACTCATCAGGTTGTTCTTAACCTAGGATCCTTGTAAAAAAGAAGCATCTTTGGTATTCAGCAGAGTAGTATGTACTCTGTACAGACGCGTCGACCAGACAGATGGCTGGGTTCGATCTGATAACGCGTATCTGATCAGTGGGGCCGGCCTATTCGGAGCAGCGAGAGCCGGAACAGGTTATGCTGGATTTAAGTATTTCCAGCTGCAAAACCCGTAAATCCGGTGTTGAGGCAGGTGTTTGGCTGGCTGCGACGCGCTGCCTGGCACGGCCTGTCATTGGAAGCCTGCGCGCGGGCGGGTGACGTGAGGGAGGCGCGCCATGTCACGTGAGACGTGACTTGGGCCGGCGCGCTAACGTCTCGTTCGGCCTCGCAGCCAAGTATTTCTGCGAGTTCTCGCCCACCAGCGTGTCTGTTTTTCTTCCCAACCCAGACCATCCGCCGTCTTTCCTGCTTCTGCCTGTGTTGTTGTGGCCAATTCTGCCAGCGGTGCCTCTCTAAATCTGTAATTGTTCACAATGACCACCCAGCTCACTCCCTCGAAGCAGGTACGTCATGTCGTCACGTCGCCGCTGCAGGCAAGACGCGTCGCGCATTGTGTATACTGACCACGACGTCCAATTCCTAGGCTGCCTCCTCTCTGGAGAACTTCAAGATGAGCGACTCGCCTGTCAAGAAGCTCAGCTTCGAGCCTTCCAACAAGGAGAACGCGCCCGTGTCGACCCCCGCCGTCGACACTGCCGCCGTTGAGGACAAGTCGGTCGTCGAGAAGCCCACCGTGCAGGAAGCCCCCAAGGTGGCTCCGGGCATCAAGGAGATCGAAGCAAACGAACCATTGCTTCAAGAGAACCCTCATCGCTTTGTGCTCTTCCCCATCAAGTACCATGAGGTGGGTGGCACGTCCATACACGCGTCGCGCGTTAAGTGGTTTCGCGTCGCACGGGAAGGAATGTTTGCTGACATGGCTTTTCTTTCCACAACACAGATCTGGCAGATGTACAAGAAGGCCGAAGCCTCGTTCTGGACGGCGGAAGAGATCGATCTTTCCAAGGACTTGCATGACTGGAACAACCGTCTCAACGATGACGAGCGGTACTTCATCTCCCGGGTTCTCGCGTTCTTTGCCGCGTCCGACGGCATTGTCAACGAGAACCTGGTCGAGCGCTTCAGCTCGGAGGTCCAGATCCCCGAGGCTCGTTGCTTCTATGGCTTCCAGATCATGATGGAGAACATCCACTCGGAGACCTACTCCCTCCTGATCGACACCTACATCAAGGAGCCCAAGCAGCGCCAGTACCTCTTCGATGCCATTGATACCAGTACGTTGGCCCGTCACTGCCCGCAGCTGATGCACGACTAACATTGTGTATAGTTCCTTGCATCCGCAAGAAGGCCGAGTGGGCTATCAAATGGATCCAGGACAAGGAGGCCACCTTTGCTCAGCGGCTCGTCGCCTTCGCTGCAGTCGAGGGTATCTTCTTCTCGGGCTCTTTCGCCGCGATCTTCTGGCTGAAGAAGCGTGGCCTGATGCCTGGTCTGACCTTCTCCAACGAGCTGATCTCTCGTGACGAGGGTCTGCACACGGACTTTGCATGCCTGTTGTTCTCGCACCTCAACTACCGCCCGAGCAAGGAGATCATCCAGGAGATCATCACGGATGCGGTCGCTATCGAGCAGGAGTTCCTGACGGAGGCACTTCCTGTGGCTCTTCTGGGCATGAACGCCAAGCTGATGTGCCAGTACATCGAGTTCGTTGCGGACCGACTGCTGGTGGCGCTGGGCAACAAGAAGTACTACAACGTGACCAACCCGTTCGACTTTATGGACAACATCTCGCTGTCGGGCAAGACCAACTTCTTCGAGAAGCGGGTTGGTGACTACCAGAAGGCGGGCGTCATGGCCAGCACGAAGAAAGACGAGAAGAAGGACGAGTGCGAGGGCGGGTTGAACTTTGACGAGGATTTCTAAGCTGCTTTCAAATCTGTGTTCTGTTTATAGATTGTTCTTGGCTGGTTACCGGGACTTTCTCTACTCTTGCTGTCTGTTTACTGTCTGTTTGTGTTTACTGTCTGCTTGCTGGCTTCAGGCGTTTCATTTGTGGGATATGATTGCATTTGTTATGAGTGACGGTGAATGGCTTGACGGTTATGTACTAGCATGAATGTAAATGTTGGATAATAAACCGTCCAGGTAATCGTACGAGTCGATCTGGGAAGATAATGGATTGCAATCAGTACACTGTACTGTACAGACTAGTCTACCACTGATAAGTCCGCATCTCCCCATCTTCAAACGCATAAAACCCAAACGGAAACCTCCCCTTCTCCGCCAGAACCAACTCCTCAACCACCCGCGCGCCCTCAACCGGGTCCTTGAGCCCCGTATACTTGGTAAGACCAGTCCGGCAATACCCCGGACAAGCACAGTAGAAGGAAATGCCCTTATCGCGATACATCTTCCACAACTCAATAGTCAACCTGTTCAGCGCGGCTTTCGCAACGCTGTACCCTACTTCCTCCGTAAGGAAGAAGTCGGTGCCAGCGGCGAAGGCGAGCGAACCCGTCTGCGACGCGAGATTGATGATCCGCGCGTCTGGGGAGCGCTGCAGGAGAGGCAGGAAAGTGTCGATGGTGAGCGCTACGCTGGCGACGTTGATGTTGTATGTTTCGACGAAGTGCGCGCGTAAGTTGTTTGTCTCAGAGGAGGGGTTGGTGGGGTTGACGCGCGTGACGGAGCCGGCGTTGTTGATTAGGACTGTGTATGTACATAAGCTGTTAGTGTGATAGTGTTCATGTATGTGTATGGGTACGGGTAGGGGTTTATTTACCATCCACATGCCCAAACCTCTCCTCTACACTCCTCTTCGCGGCGAGAATACTCTCGTCGGAGCCGAGCTCTAGCTCTAGCGGTTCGAGGGATACATTATCAATAATACTGGCGTTGAATGACTGGATAGCCTCCTCAGCAGAGCGCTTGGTGCGACAGGCGAGGATGATTGTCCATTTTTTGCCTTCGTCTGAAGAAGTAGGGGAAGGGGCCTTTGCGACAAGACGCTGGACGATGCCGTTTCCGATGCCGCGGTTGGCGCCTGTGACGAGGATGATTCGTGAGGGGGAGGAAGTGGAAGACATTTTTGTGTCTAGGTATACAAGGGCACTGTATGTGTATATATCTGCTGCAGTATGTATGTACGGTACCTTGGTTAGATCTAATTAATAGAGATAAATTAAGGGTACTACTTACCGTACTACTGTACTGTATACTACGTACGGCAGGAGTTCCCGTTTAAACAAAAGTCAAATATATTAATTAGTCAATTAATCAATTAAAAAATAAATAGATCAGATCGGATCAGATTCATTATCGGGGACAGGACAGGGTTAATTCATTAATGGGGTTGGATTTACTAGCTAGCTAGCTATCTATCTAGCGAGGTTAGGTAGTATATAATTTCCTAGTAATTAGTGATGAGTGGGGTGGTTATCGTACTTAGATAACGAACAGATTCCACACGCTGGTGCGGGGTAATAAAATATCAACTTGTACAGAGTGCAGTACCTTACATGTTGAGGAACATTATACAATTGACAACAATCAGCAATAACAAGAAGAAAGCAGGATAATAAATAAGCCGAATTTCACAACTGGCACAAACAAACCTTTACACAAATGCAATGCAATGCAATCAATGCAATGATCAATGAATATAGTAATTTAGGAAGTTGGTTATGAATCTCAAACGACGATCAGCCAAATTATTATTTTTATTTTTTTGGATCCTCTCCTTGAAAGCATGAGAAGGACAACAAGAAGAAGATAACTGAGAAAAATATACATATATATATGCATTATTAGGTATTATTGGGTGACTACCTAGGTACACAGTCGAGTCGAGATAATAACTCAGCGTCGCATCGGACGAAAGTTGCACAGTTGCACAGTATCCGTACTGTACACGTGTGCGATTTCCAGAAATGGAAATAACAACATCACCACAACCACAGCTGCTCTTTGAACTCTCGTGGCTGAGCAATATTGGAGAACTAATGTTTTTTTTTTAAAAAAAAGAAACGAAAAGCTCACACTAGGGTCCTCCCTGAGTCCCTCCCAGGACACTAGGTGCTACGAACTACCTACTTTGTACAGTTCAGTACATATGTGCTGTACATACACTCGTAGTATTATTCAAGGAGGAAAAAAAACACACAAACTAGTAAAACTAGTAAAACCAGTAAAACCATCCTTCTCTATGCCTTCTCTATGTTGATTTAATCTGATACGATACTACCAAGACAGACAAGACAAGACAGACAGACAGGCATTTTCACTAAATAACTACTTATATTATATTATATTAGAAAGTCATACGAAATACTTACTTCTTGATAGGGTTACTCTTTGTAATGAATAGTTGTTGCTTTCGAGAATCGAGTAGTGCCGGCTTTCTTTCTTATTAATTACTTTTTTTTTTTGAAGAGAAGTCTAAGAAGGTTTGTGATTTTTTTTGACTCTTAAGTGACTAATTAATTACTTAAACCACCACTTTAGAATATCTTTTTGCTGTTGGGCTGCATCTTTTGGCCGCAGTCGACGCCTTTTTCAGCATCACTTGTGCAAGCGCTTCGCACCACGTTACTGGGTACCCATTTAATGCACTGACCATCCATCATGCAAACCGCGCGGGTGGCTCCTTGCTGGTCAAGTCCAGACTCCAAACATGTTTTTCATGTCATCATTTTCCCAGCGTCCAATATTATTATGCCTTTACCTTGCAATCAGTGTCTCATTCTCAGCCATGGTGGCAAAGGCTAAGTGGGTAAACTCTATAACTGTTTATGTTTCAGCTGTCTGCTCTTGGCTTTAAAGGAGACATGATTTGCTAATTAAATCACCCCATATGTAGGTACAGAAAGATGGAGTCAGCATCAGCCATGTCCAAGCTGCAACTAGATCTCAATCTTATCAAGCCAGGTCAATACTCTGTGAACTCCAGAGCAGCAATAAATAGGAAGTCAAATGCAGGGTCGGTAAACTGTGCCAAGCTGAGCAAACAACTATCATGCTCCCATAGCTAGAAAACAAATTCACTACTATTCAGGTACGAATCTGAATCAAATCTATCTTGATTTAAGATTTTGGGCGTTTATTTTCTGATGTAGAATGGGTCATGCAATAGAACCAGACTAAGTATCATTCTGATACGTACTGTACATAAGGTGTATACGATGAACGCAGAGAGGTCTGCATATCAAGGCTCTTCCTACAGCTGGTGGCTGTGATGTAGTGTTAAGCACGCCGTGGCGACCCCAGCGAGGGTTTTTGCTGAGATTTCCCCCCGAAACTGTGAGGAAGCAAGTTCGATTTTTGCCGCTGGCAAAATTATTACAACACAATTATGAGCCCTGCTCACAGGGAACTGGCTAGCACTAATTAAGTAATTTTCAGATGCTTAAGTCGGTGGCTGTCTACCATGAGGAAAGCTAGCCAAGCTAGCACGGGAACCTGATGACCATATAACTAGAAAGCAGCCCCCAGCTGCGGGTTGAGTTTGTCATAGCTGCAAGGCTCTATGTGGACCTCAAACTTGATTAAATAAATAAGGCTTCTTACACAAGGAGATCCCTGCTTGGATCTTCTGCTGGGGTTCAGTATATCACAAGCAATTGATAGTTGGCTCATAGCTTGGCAGCCTCCTCTTAACTCACAAATCCCAGTAGCCATAGGTTGCATACATCTGTAATGAGCAAGTACTCAGTAAACTGAAGAACCTATTTATTATTAGCCTCTGACCATGTTGGTAGACTGTTAGGTGTGCAAATCTAAATAGTCACTTACACATGGCACTGGCAGGACATTCACCTGGATCGCAGAAATGAAGGTCAGCCTTAAGCCAACAGGACACCTCTTCACACCAGAACCATAATAAGTAAGCATAACTGACACACCCTTTGGATCCATAATGGATCCCAAATGGTACAATCACATTATCGCGCTTAGCATATACAAGACTCCCAGAATCTCCAGGTGCAGCGAATGGTTGCGCAGGTGACAGCCACTCTACAACCAAGTGGAATGTCCGAGTTGAGTCTTTCTCACAATCTGAATCACTCGACTGAGAAGAAGAGGGTGATCTTCGCAATGGTCGACCTTGATGAAACCCTTGTTCTAATTCCTTAATCCTCATGAGGTTCCCAGTCGTGTGGCCAGTGGCCGCACCATGCTTGTAAACTGTAACCGGACGATTTTGTTCTACCCAGGCTATCATTTCATCCGGATCGGCCAGCTTCGGATCGGTAGCTGTAAATTCTTGGTCTGTTTCCTCAATAGGAGGAACAAGGGCATGACAATCAAGATCTAGGGGAAACCGGCACTTAGTCTGAGCGCTTTCCAGACCGATCGTCTCAATGAGGCAAATTTCATTGAGACATGGCCGGTCTTCTGGCCAACCGAGTCGGAAACGAGGTCGGCCGACAAATCTTTTGCAGTCTTTTATAGTTCTAAGGGATTGCATTCGACCGTCAGCACTGATCTGTACAGATATTGAATCACACGTGTCACCCAGGACGTGACCAACAGTCGCAATCACATGACGTGAATGTTGGCCGTCGTCCAAGGTAGCAAAAAAAAAACCTAGGGTACCAAAAGGGGAAAACTCCAGATCAAATTGCGCGGTCAGCTCTTCGGAGGGGTGGAGCTTACAACCTGGTTGAAGAGGGGCTAAAACAGAGTAGAGGGTTGCGTCTTTCGAAGGGTCCTTGCGGCAATATTAATCAGTTAGAAATTGTCTGCCAGCAGTCGACAATCAATTACTAACCACTTGCTGCCACATTCCATGTTTGCTTGACATCTTGGACACGGAAAAGTCTTCCCCATTCACGCACAGCGGTCCGCATAGCACACACATTGACCTAAGCGGTTCAGAATCAGTTAGCTGACTCGCAATAGGTCGATACGTGTACAATACTGGTCTGTGTGAAAGCCATCTAACCCGTAAAGCAACGGACGGGACAACGTGGCTGTATAGACCTGTTCGAGCCGTAAATCCGGTTCCATAATGGAAATATAGATAGCGGGATTCCAGCCGTCGTATCAACTACGAACTTTGTAATGTCTTTGGATATTCCGGGTAAGGAGAAGGACCCTTGTCAAGTGGGCTTCGACCAGGATTGAGATGATAAACCATTTCTTGTCTGGAATACCTCTAGCTTTGCCGTCTTGAAATGGCATCCATGGTATCTTGTCCTGGCGAGGAGGTTGAATGTGTCTTTGACCAGGTATTCGTAGATCTTAACAATCTGGAGCTGCCCAAGGCAGCGGATGCGGCCGTTTGCCTGTTCCGTTGTTGGGATCGACATGGAGTTGTCGAGGTGATGGGCATTGCGGCATAGTTTCTTCAGGTTGGATCCGCTGCTGTTGACAGAGTAAGAACACATCAGGACCATGGTCTTCAACCGCTCTGTCGTAAACTTCGTGATAAGGCGCTCTTGCTCAAGGTGGTTCAGCTCTGCATGGAAGACGTGGGCATCAAGCAGCAGCTATAAAAACTGCTGAATCAGCAGCGTGCACCAAATGATGCCTTGCTCATTGAAGTGCAGACCTCAGTGACGATATCGAAGGTGCCGGCGGAACACTGCTACACCACCATGATCATCATGCCCTAGAGTTTGGTCGAATAAAGGTAATATGAACTGTTTTCTGATCTCCATGCTGAGATACTTTAGGATGATTTTCTATTAAAACCAAGCCTGCCTCTGAGGAATAATCTTGCCATGCACGCCTTGCCGTGTCGCTGAGGACTCTTCCAGAGTAACCGGGGGGATCTTCGTCAAAGACAACGACTTTGTAACCGTCCTATCACCGGATCCGTTAGCAGTCTCCAATTACTATCTTCAGGCGACCGAGGGGGAAATGGAAGACCAGGATATGTATGAGGACAGGAAAATGCTACATACATCCGGATTGACACTGATCTTGAAGGCGTCAAACAGCTCATGTACAGCACTTCGCCAATTAATAGGAGTCCATTCTGAATCGACCAACCAAGATATGCCAGTGCTGATCGTTAATCCGATGCTCGCGCTTGTTCCAGTTTGCAGGCTGCTATCTGCAATCATCCATATAACGGGCAAAATGACCAGTCGACCTGTCAGCTCCAAGACCGGATATAATCATCAAGCCTATTTTCGATGGACACTTCATGTCGATTGTGCTTTCACGGCAGTCCAGTCTCAAGACGGTGTCCATGAGATGGTGGTAGCATCTGGGATGACGGCTCCGGATAGCATAGCTGAGAGGTATCGTGCTCGAGCTTCTTCATTTTCGTGTCTGTCCATGGTTTCAGGACACTTAGGTCCCAGTACACACAGACGCGGAGAGATATTGTAGCCCTGTCCTGGTGCGAGAAACCTAAGAACGACTAGTCTGTCCAGGAAGGTTCTTGACAAGGAGTCTAGGAGCACGGACGAGCTGTGCAACAGCTCGTTGGAGATTATCGAAATATATGTATAAGCTTTAGTTGTCATGACCGTTCAAGCAGCCGGAAAAATGGGACCGCTTGCATACCACAGCACGACATTCCAGTCTAGTCTCGAGGACGTTGAGTATGTCGTGTCAGCTGACAGCGACAAGATGCGTGGGAGTGGGCGCATCGGTGTGAACAGTACCCAACAGGACATCGACAGAAGCGGTCGACAATATATAATAAGAAAAAGAAAAGCCTCTAAAGCAGGTAGGTATAGTAAGGATGATCTATGCATTTCGTGTCCTGCGACGACGACTCTCACAGATATGATTTGTCGTTGGTAGGTACCATTTATAATAAAAGTGATGAAATGGGTAGAGTTTCTATGAAGCTGCAAGAAAGACAGCAGAGAAGAAAGAGCTTATATAAGAGGGGCCCAGTAAGTAATATGGGAAATAATATAAGAAGTCCATCAACCAAGAGGTTGCAGAACAGAGGGAGCATATAAGGTAGGTATGGATGGAGAAGTGGGAAGGAAAGGGAAAGGAAGGAAGGGAAATGGTCCGGGAAAGAGTCACTCTTTATATGCTTTCTTTCTTACGGCACTACCCGTACAAACGGAAAAAAAATACAAACGGGCTTTGATAAGTGAATATGGCAATTCCTGTGAATATTACATACAGCAGGATGGAGCAGTGAATAATATGTATATGCTCTACATAGGCAATTTCTTCACTGTCTTCTAGTATAGTATACAGCACTAGTCTAGTCTATCTATGTTCAAGTCTATCTATCTATAGATGGCTATGGCTATTGTATCGCCCACACTCCCTCTGCACGCGAACGCACTCCCTCGCATCAAATCCAAAAAGCCACTGCTGAAACACCGGATCATCCAACATATTAGGATACCCAACCGACGGGGGCACATCCTCGACGAACTGCCGGTCTCGAACGACCTGCAAGGGACCATCGGGCAACTGCCAGATCTCGCCCGTCCGCTTGCTCGCGCGGATGACGAGGTTCGTGCGAGGCCGTCGGACGGAATCGTACAGATGCAGGAGATGCGGGATTTCGGACGGATTGCGGGCTTCGGCGAGGAGGTGGGAAAGCACGGCTGCAGATTCAAAGCCCATTGCGGCTCCTTGCGCTCTGGAACACGGAGATGAGTGAAGGACAGCACATGGAGAAAGAAATTGCGGTGACTTACAAGTACGGCAGAGTCGCATGCGCTGAATCCCCCGCCAGGACGAACTTTCCACCAGGATGGACAAAGGATGCCGGCGGCTCGTCGACTTCTAGAAGCGACCACTTGTTAAAGTTATCGGCAATGTCCAGCAGCCGGCGCATCTTGGGATCCCAGTTCTGGAAGAACGCGCGCAACTGCTCGACGTTCTCCGGACGAGGGCCGATAAAGACCTCGTCCTGGGTGGCCGGGCGGGTGAGGACGATGTTGAAGGCGTCTTTCAGCGTGTAGCAGATGGCCAGGCTTCGAGGACCCAGCCAGGTCTGCACAGATGGCGGGGACACCAGATCGTGCAGGTCTGCGTCTCGTGTGATGGCCGAAACGGGGACGACGATGCGCACGACGGTGACGCCCGTGGGCCGGGGGTTGTTGGGCCTCTGGAGCAGGGCAGCACGACACATGGACTGCGGACCGTCTGCACCAACGACAAGGTCGGCGCGCAGCTCCTCCTGGCTGCCAGAGAATCGGATGACGCCGTTGGGGAAGTCGGATGCCTGGCCGTCGACCGTCACTGCGAGACGCACGTGGGCACCCCGGGCGACGGCTTCGTCGTACAGGATCTTGCGCAGATCCGCGCGATGGATGACCAGGTAAGGCAGGCCATACTTGTCCTGGGTGTAGGGATCCAGGTTCATCTCCCGGAGCAGCTCTCCATTGCGATACGATCGCAGCACGATGGCCTTTGGCCGGGCCGCCCTGTCGCGGACGCGCCCCAGGACGCCGGCATCTCTCAGGACGCGGCAGGAATTGACAGGGAGCTGGATGCCAGCTCCAATCTGTGGTTTATGTCAGCGACAATTGTTTTATTTATGATTATGCTTGCTGGAAAGAGGAAATACCTCTCGCAGTTCGACATCGCGCTCGAGAACCGTCACCCGGTAGCCGGCTTTTCGCAGCAGGATGGCCGCGGTGAGGCCCACCAGGCCTGCGCCGACCACCACGACGTGGAAGTCGAAGGGGAAGTCAGCCATGATATATCATATCAGATGGGAGTCGGTGTTTGTTGTGGTTGTGGTGGGGGCTGTGGGGTGGAGAGTTTAACTCCGCATGCCGCGTGGACTAGATGTGTACCTCGTCACTAATCTTACAGATGGAATGCGTTGTATACGGAGTATTTCTTGGATTACACGGGTGCAAAAAAAAAGTATGTACCTGATATTAAAATCGTTGATTTCAACTCCACAGACGAATTAGTTTTCTAGTCAGTTCAACTAGCAGAGTTCTATCTTGTACTGTACTGAACATAATAATACCTAGGTGGACTGCTTTCAGGTAGCTAAAATTATCAACCTAGTACTACTACTGTATATACATCGCTCGATAACCATCTTCGAAGCGATTCATCCACAAATACTCCGTACGGAGTACATGTATGTACATACAGTATGTAGGCTCTGAGCAGGTCACGTGTGACAGGTCAGCCACGTGGTTGAGTCACGTTCTCCAAATCATGTGCAGTCTTCCAAATTCGGAAATTGCTATTTGTCGATATCTGTATTTGTTGTGGAGTGCTAACGATGCTATATATATACAAGACTCCGGCGAACGAAATTAATATTAGCATGCTAGAAATATCCAAGAAAAAAAAAATGCAATGATACAATGACTGTCTATCGCAAAGGAAACCAATAACCAAACCGATTCAGCGGATCGTATTTCGCTTTGAGAGCCCGCAATTTCTCGAGACTGTCTCCATAGACGTTCTGCAAAGGATCGTCGCCGTGCGCAAAGTTGATGTAGGAGCTGTTCGCCGCCAGACCGTCCGACGAACGGATTAGGTCGCGAACCTTGGCGCCAAACACGTTGGCCGCCGCATCCAGGCTGGGGTCCGCGTACCACGGGATCGCAATGGCGTGGCACTTGACGTTGCGGAAGGGATACGAGGCCGGTGCCGTGGCCCCGATCGACTCTGCCTTCTCGACGGAATAGCATTCGACCAGGACGGACGTGTTGCCCGTGTTGGGCGTCTGGAGGAACGTAGTGTATTCGTCCCAGATGGCCCGCCAGGTTGTCGGATCCATGTTGTTCGTCGACGCGCCGTACGCCGCCTTGCGCCCGCCCTTGACACAGAAGGAATCCCCCGCGGCGTTCCACGTGTTGTACGGCAGGGTCGAGGTGCCGTCCATCTCCGGTCCAGCGGCGTAGAGCGAGGCGAAGGCGGCTTTTCCGGCCGTCTCGTTCCCCAGATAGAAAGGCAGGGCGATGACCGCCGGGGTGTAGTCCGGGGCCCCCGACGTGGTGTAGTAGAAGTCGACCTGCATCTCCGGCGCGAGAGTGAGGTTGTTGATGGCGCCCACGACGGCCTCGATCTGGCTCGAGTTGTAGAACAGGGGACCCGTCCAGGCCGTGTTCTGGGCCTGGGCGATGGGATACGCCTTCACGGTGGCCGAAGTCACGATGCCGAAATTGGGCCCTGCGCCTCGCAGAGCCCACCACAGATCCGCCTGCTGCGGCGTGACGGTGATCTGCTGCCCAGACGCATCGACGAGGTTGACGGAGATGAACTGATCGACGCCCAGCCCGTACAGGCCCATCGTGCGACCAAGACCACCTCCCAGCGCGGCACCCAGGAACCCGACACAGTTGCAAGTGCCCGTGTAGATGCGGGCGTTGTTGGCCCAGGCGGCGTCGACCACCTCGGAGATGCTTGCTCCGGCTTGCACCGTGGCCTGGTCCGGGGCGTGGAAGGTGATTTGGTTCAGGTTGCGCAGGTTGATGAGCAGGCCGCACTGGTTGAGATTGCCCAGCGTGGTCGACCAGCCGTTTCCACCATTCTGGGCCAGGAAATCGATGTTGTTTTTGACGGCGTATTGAACCTGTTCGTCGTCAGCATCTCTTCTCTCCAGCGAGGAGAAGATACCTACCGCCACGGCGACATCGTCCTCGGTGGACACGGTGACCACGGTGCCCGGAGTCGGCTGGTCGTACTCACTCCATCTGGGGACGGTCGTGTTGCAGGAGACAGAGGCCCCCGGAGAGAGCAGCGGCTGCAGAGCCTTCTGGATGGAGGCGCAGGGCAGGCAGTTGGACGGGGGGGCCGCAGCGGCCAGGAGGCAGAAGGGCAGCACGAGGAGAGCGATCATGGTGCAGCCAGCTCAGAAGTGATGGACGAGGACCAGCCAGATGGCCGGGGGAGGCGTCTTGAAGTATCCATGACTTTTTAACACTGCTTGGATGCTCGAGCCTCGATGTCGTTCTCCTAGCGGAAGCCACGTGGGAATACACGCCGTCCACATTCTTGACCCCAATGCAGAGTCGACTAATCATCGTCCAGGAGGCTGTACACGGTCCACTATGCTATCATCGCTATGCTACCTCGCACGGAGACGCACGGGAAATCCGCGTTTAGTGTGTTTCACTCGGAGATGGCGCATTCTGGAAGCATTCCAGAAGAGATCAATTCCGGACTCGCTCAGTCGGCTAAGTGGTGGATGAGAAAGAACTATCGAGCAGGTATGAAGGGATCAAAAGATCAACGAAAGCAAGGAGGCATGCAGGATTTATTCGACTGGTTTAATTGGGATGGATTCGGAGTGACTCGGTTTAAGTTAGGCCCCCAAGATGACTGCCCAGGAAGTCCTAGCTAAGTAACTTTGTCTAGCACAGACTAGCTACTCCTGAGTTTATTCATGCTAGGCACAATTCATCGACAGTAGCAGGATATACGTATATACGAGTAATGTCACGATGTGAATTTTTCTGTTCTCAACTTAATCGGAGTATACCCTAGTTGACCTGATTGGTTAAGATTCCTCTCATCTGATTGGTAGGAACTCATCACGTGAGCTCGACTCTCTACCATATGATTGGTTCATCGAAAGTAAAGTCACGTTATGACAAGTTCGTCGTGTGTTTTTGCGTCGCTTACTTCGTACACTATGGGCGAGCTCATGCATTTTACTGCTCCATGAACAGGCTTCAGTTTGACTAAGCGTGGGCAGGCAGTAGTGTATCGCAAGTGGCCCGGATGGTCTAGTTGGTATGATTCACGCTTAGGGAACCTTTTCTGCCTGTGTGAGGTCCCGCGTTCGAGTCGCGGTTCGGGCCGTAGCCATAACTTTTTACTTTTTGTTCCTTTTTTTTCTCTTTTTTTGGTTGCTTGAAAAATAGACTGTACCGGCTGCTCCATGTGGAACCATGGATAATCCAGAAAACACGTGCTAATCGCAAGGTTAGGCTGGTAACCCCGCCGTGGGGGCGGTCCTCAGCTGCATCCATACGCGTACTAATTGCTTACTATTAACTCTTACTACGACCAATGGATCCCCAACCAACAAACGCGTCATCGACTGTTGCTCTCTGTGGCCAGAATGTCATGCATAACAGTTAAGTGTCTCAATTGATGTTGACAGCTGACAGACTGCGCCCCGCTCCCCCTCTTGTGCTACGCTTCCGCTTATAATGCTGAGCTGCCTATCTCTTCTGAGCTGTCTATCTCCGCTTGACTAATACTGCAACAGTGCAACCATCTTTGACATGTCAACAGCCGACTACATCGTCGTCGGAGGCGGCCTGACCGGATGCGCCGTGGCCTCGCGCCTCAAGCAGGGCCGTCCGTCATCCAGCGTGCTCATCCTCGAGGCCGGACCCCATCCCAAGGACAACCCCAACACGACCTCGTTCCTGGGCGGCGTCGCCCTGCTGGGTTCTGACCTCGACTGGGGCTTCACCACCGAGCCCCAGCCCACCACCGCCAACCGCGTGCACAAGCTCAACGCCGGAAAGGTCCTCGGCGGCGGCAGCATCCTCAACTTCGGCGGCTGGGGTCGCGGCGCCGCGGCTGACTACGACCACTGGGCCAAGACCGTCGGCGACGAGCGCTGGGGCTACAACGGCCTGCTGCCTTACTTCAAGAAGACGGAGCGCTTCGTCCATCCCCGCGCGGATCCCCAGCAGCATGGCGCTGACGGGCCGTTCTACGTCGCCCCCGTCACGGCGGATGCCAACCGTACGTACCCGCTGCGCGACCCGATCAAGGCGGCGTGGACGTCCCTGGGAGTGCAAGAGAATCCCGACAACTGTTCAGGCAATGTAAGCGGCATCAGCGAGTGTCTGGAGAATTTCCACGACGGCGTTCGCCAGCCGTCCGCGCTCGCGTACAATCTCGACGGGGTGGAGATCGTGACCGGGGCTGTTGCGCACCGGGTGCTGTTCTCGACGAAAGACGACAGCCGGCCGGTGGCGACGGGGGTCGAGCTGGTCGATGGCCGCCAGTTCACGGCGCGCAAGGAGATCATCATCTCGACGGGCGCGTTGAAGACGCCGCAGCTGTTGCTGCTGTCGGGCATTGGGCCGGCCGAGACGCTGGCGAAGCATGGGATCCCCGTGGTTAAGGACAACCCCGACGTGGGCCAGCATCTCTTCGACCACTTTGCCCTGTTCCAGGTCTTCAAGCTGCGCAACCCGGAGAAGGGCCTGGCGATGGGCAGCCCCGGTTTCGCGAACCCGGCCTACTTGAAGGGGCTTCCCTGCGACTGGATCGTCAACCAGATCGTGCCGGCGGAGACGCTCGAGAAGGCGATCGAGGCGGACGAACAAGCGACGACGGAGAAGACGGGGGTGGTCGATTTTCGCGCCCTGCTGGCTCCCGGCCGCAGCCACGTGGAATCGATCGTCATGTACGGTCCGCTGGGCGCGCCCGGCATCCCGATGGACGGGACGTACGTGGCCACATCGGTGATGCTGCAGCTGCCGACGTCACGGGGGCGCATCAGCATCCGCTCGGCGTCGCCCAGCGAGCAGCCGGCCATCGACCCCAACTACTACGCGACGGAGACGGACCGGACGATTCTGCGGTACGCGACGCGGCGGCTGCTGACGGCGCTGCTGGAGACGGAGGCCGGCCGCGAGTACTTTGAGACGGAGGTGGCGCCGCCAGGGATGCCGGTGCTGACGGCGCAGTCGTCGGACGAGGACATCGACGCGCGCATCCGGGCCACGGGCATCGCGCACTTCCACTCGGCGGGCAGCGCGGGCATGGGCCGGGTTGTGGACACTGATCTGCGGGTGTACGGTGTGGATGGGCTGCGCGTCGCCGATGCGAGTGTGTTGCCGGTGCCCATCAGCGGGCATCCGCAGGCGACGCTGTATGCGCTGGCGGAGCAGGCGGCGGATCTCATCTTGCAGAGCTGACGAGCGGACGAGCTGACGAGCGAAGCGAGTCTGCGAGTCTGCAAGTCAGTGAGTCTGCAAGTCAGCGAGTCAGCGAGTGGAGTATACAGACGCTGTACAGTCACTGTACCCATGAATCAGGTCGATACGAAATACGAGATATGTAGCTAAGAAGCAATATCGTCTACTCAATAGTTATCTGTAAGCTCAGCCTAGTACGTGAGATCAAGAACAGTTACTGAGTCGATAATCCAATATACTACAATAAGCCTTAGGTCTAGGGTATAGATTACTCCAGACTAGGAGAGAAATTGCTTCTTTAGCTACATATTAACTGACTTCATCGGTGCAGTCAGTGACTACACACTAATTTCTGTCCTGAGAAAAAAAGGTATACATACAGGTAGGATATTTTATAGCCCGATATAGTGTTCTAGCCAACGAGCTCCGCGGTATATACATATCACATGCAGCAAGCAGACCAAGCGGGGCTTCTCGTGGTCACAAGCTAACTACCTAACTCATCACATTCCAAATTCCAACTACCCCAATGGAGCAACGTATGCGGCCGGCTCTCCAAAGATGATGAGGATGAAGGCCGTTTCAAACTATTCTGCGACGATCTTCGCCCTGCAAATGTTCTTGCAAATGCCAAATTTAAGGTCGTTGGGGCTGTAGACTGGGAGTTCACATATGCTGCACCGACCGGATTCGCGTATAGCCCACCATTCTGGCTTCTGCTGGAACCTCCTGAGTACTGGCCGGATGGACTTGATGATTGGACGCGTGTCTACGAGACACGCCTACCAGTGTTCCTTCGCGTGCTGGAGGAAAGAGAGAAAGTGGCGATCGATCGCGGTATTCTGACAGAGGACCAACGCCTCTCGATGCATATGAAGGCCAGCTGGGAGAGTGGGGATTTCTGGGTCAATTATGCGGCGAGAAAGAGTTGGGCATTTGACATGATATACTGGGCAAAAATTGACAAGAGATTTTTTGGTCAGGGGGGTCTTGACGATCGTCTCCAGTTGCTGACTCCAGAAGAGAGAGGGGAGATGGACAGCTTTGTAAAAAGAAAACTGACAGGATCTGCGGTATAAGATATTCCAACTTTGACATATTCCACTTTTGACATTATCTGCAAATCCGCAGAATCTATCATGAAGGCATCTCCCATTAGCTAGCTACATTCAAGATGCTCACACCAATGCTCTGATTTCGTCTGTTTATACCGATTCTTTGTGGGTCACGTTGAACTGCTTGAAGCTCTTGCATGGATGCAGCAGGATTAAATTGGATTGGCCTCTTGGTGATTACTTCTGCACTCACTGTATATAACCAATTTTCGATGAAGATGAATATCACTAATGGCTGCTAGATGACTACAATCCGATATAGACATAAATATAGATATAACTAAAATAATTATTGCAGATTTATAGTTATCTAGATAGCTATTAGTAGGTAATATTCATTACCATTAAGGATTAGCTATGTATATACATACAGCCAGTATAAAAGAAATCAATCAATTTCTATTAGAAATAAAAAAATCAGCGTTCGCAGTATGGGCACACTCGAGCAAATATATCAGCTCTCCTCTCAAGAATCTCTACGACGCGGAGGATCAGAATCAGCCGACCATAATATAGTGGATTGCATGAAGAGCAGAACTCAAGATAGATTTGATCGCTGCTCGCAAAGTGGAAATCAAGAACAGCCGTACGGTACTACCCATTAGCTACAAGAGATAGCTTAAAGCTCTTCATGTCTGTATACTGTATATACTCATTAGGGCTGTTTAGCATACTTCCAGAGAATGAATCGTGATGAACGTGTCTTGAGAGAAAGCTTACTGCACATCCGATGCTGGCACTTCCGCTCTTTTGAAAAATTCGCTTGCCGCCATACCCCGATCATTGTGCCAATACAGACAGTTAACAGCATCATCATCATCATCATCATCATCATCATCATCATCGCAGGTTGTAAACCTCAAGAGATACATTTCTGGGAAATTGTTAGGAAATCGCCCTAGCCGGTCAAGCTCGTCACGAGTCATGATCCACGAGAAAGTATCGTAATGAAAGTGTGAGAGTCTGTAGACATATCGCCGGTCTCCTTTCATGCAAAAGCGCAGTCCGCCGTCTTCCTCAAGGAAGACGTCTAGGAACCATGGACCGTTGGTGTTGTAGTATCTGCCTGTATATTCCGACAACGGCTTGTGGGAGGTATTCGGGATTTGCCTGTCGGCGAGATGCTTCGGTATGCCACTCATCCTTTGATCAGAGGCTTCGGAGCTGACTTTGGCTAGGTGAACATAGTCATTTCTCACATCACTATCGATCAGGGCCTCAAGCAGCAGCTGAGAAATCCAATCCGCGCAGTCGTTTTTTGAAATGGAGTTTGTCAAAACGACGATCGCCGAGTCCGTCTCAGGTAAGAGAAGGACTGCGGAAAAGAACCCCGACAGGCTGCCACTGTGGTTTATCACTAGTTGCGACTTGGAGCCGCGACCGACAACAGGCATACTGTCCATAACAGCACCATTGGTGCCCGTTGAACCCAATGGCTGGGGCAGCTGCGTTCGCACCCAGCCCAGTGCATAGGTGTGCTCGAGGAGGCTCGTTCCGGGCATATGGACATGGGAACTCAGGATGGTGGGAACTTGGCAAAACGGCAGACCCGGTGTTGAGGTGCGATTGTTGGAGAATTGATCTTTGCTTGCGTTTAAAAGGGCCTTGTACATCACCAACAGATCGCTGACACAGGAACGGATTCCGGACCCGCCTGACATGACAGTTCCATCTGCAACTGACGGTGGAGCTTGAGGAATGATCGTACCATCAGTTAGTGGAACATAGGGCTCTGCTATGTTGTCCGTGTCCGGGTCTGGATCTTCAGTGAACGTGCGGGTCAATCCCAGGGGCTGGAACAGACGTGCATGCAGGTATTGACCCCCAAGTCATGACGGTCAAATTCTCCAACAGAGCCGCAAGCCCATACCCCCAGTTGGAGTATCCGAACTGGCAGCGAAATTCGCGGACTTTGGGTAGCGTTGCAAACATGGGCAGAGTTTCTTCCTTGCTAAATTTCAGATGGCCGTGTTCCTGGATCCAAAGTGCATTTTGTGTCGAGACTCCTGCACGATGAGACAGTAGATCGACAATATTCAGCTCTTCTCTGATGACTCGATCGGGATGATAGAATCCTGGAAGAACGGCGCTGATAGGAGTGCTCCAATCTATTTTCTTTTCTTCGACGAGGATCCCAAAGGC